CCTGGCTAATTCTTTGTATTTTTAGTAGAGACGGGGTTTCACCGTGTTAGCCAGGATGGTCTCAATCTCCTGACCTCATGATCCACCTGCCTAGGCCTCCCAAAGTGCTGAGATTACAGGCATGATAAGCCACTGTGCCTGGCCCAGCTTATTTTAATCAGGCTGTCATCCCTATCAGATTAATCAAAACAACTCATTAAGGTCACCTTCATGTGGGTCACTCTAAGGTCGCTCCAAAGCCAATGGTCACTTTATTCCTCAACTGAATGATTTCTCAGACACATGTGAGTCAACTGATTATGGCCGCCTTTAGTCTCTTCACTTGGTTTCCAGGATACCAAGTGGTCTTTCTTCTTCTATCACTCTTTCCTGGCCTCCTATGCTGGTTCCTTATCTCCCAACTTCGAAATATTGGTATCAGTCCCCGAAAGTCTTTTCTCTCTACAGTTATGCTCTAGATGACTTTATTCCCCTATCTGATCTTTAATACCATCCATATATTGATAATTTCCAATTTGTTATCTCCAGATCAAACCTTTCCCTTGAGGTTTGAACTTCTAAATTAAATGCTTTCCACATGACAACTCTACTTGGTTATTTATTCAGTGTCCCAAACTTAAAACAACTAAAAATGAACTTTTAATTCTCCCTGACAAACTTGCAACTCCTGCATTCCTCCCATCTCAGTAAATGGGAACTTTCCTCTAGTTGCTCAGGCCAAAGCCTTAGGGAACATCCTTGATTCTGTCCCTCCCCCATTCCTTCCCTCCCTCCTTCCTGTCCCACTCCCCACCACACACACCCATCCCACATCTGCGGCAAATCTCACAGGCTGATCTAGTTGCAACCTTTCATAAATGTATCTTATCGAATTGAAATCATTCAAAAAAGACCCATCTTCACTGCTATAACTTTGGTTAAGTTGCCATCACTTCTTGCCTGGACTTGTAATCTCCTCATGACCGGTCTCTCTACTCTACCAATGTCATTCTACAGTCTATTCTCAACACAGCAGCCATAAAAATCCTTAAGAAAACTTAGGTCAGGTCAGCTTTCTGCTTACACCTCCAAATGGCTTCTCATTTCACCAAAAGTAAGAGCCAAAGTCCTTCCTTTCACTTAAAGGCCTACACACTTTAGTGTCCTGCTGACTTTCTGCCCTTACCTCCAACCATGTCCTCCCTGGAGCACTCTGCTAGAACCACTCAGATCTTGCTGTTCTCTGAACAAGCCAGGCATGTTGTGGTTTATGGCCTGCTTGACCTAACCCTACAGCATTTTCCCAGGAAACTACTATAGTAAAACATGCTTTTTATGTATTACTTAGTAATGTGCTGCACACCACACCCCTCATCTTTAATTTTAATACAATCAGACTCTCACATAGCATATCCAGTCGAAACAAAACAATGCTCCAGAAAACTCTTGTTATTCCTCAGCATCACAGGCAGAAACACCAAGAGGCCCCAAGCAGTGTTGGTGCTGGGTCACTGGAAAATATCCTCAAGCCCCAGGCAGGCAATAAAGTAATGAATAACAGGGCAAGAAACAATAAGGCCTTTCTACATGAATCAAACTCAATGTGGCCCTTCTTATACTGTAACCTGGACGTTTTTATTAATACCATTGGTGTGCTGGTTAAATTGTGATTCAGATCAAAATTAAATGGTGAACTAAATTGGTTTAGTCGTTATCTGATAGAGCCAGTGATTTATAGCTGCACCAATGATTTGAAAATGTGACAGATGTATAAATAACTCAGCCTAATCGATGATTGGAAGCAGAAAGAAAAAAGACAAAAAAGAAAAAAACAAGAACTCAGCCCATTTTGGGAGGTTAATACTTCTCACGTTCTATTCTTCATGCCCCACCAGGGACATATTCTTAGAAGAGGAAACTTACTTGATAAATCTCAAGAAAAGCGGGGAAAGCTCCCTGGACCGTGGCTCTACTCTTTCTGGGAATTTTGTCAGAGCTCTCCAGAGCAGGAATCTGAAGTTGGTGTGGTCAAGTCTTTCCCGACAGTCAGTTTTCAATGCTAACTGCTCATGATAAAGAGCTCCAACATCTCCTTCCTGGGTCTGCTCCCAACTTTCATCTCCAATGGACTTCTCATCTGTCATATCATTCTGCAGTTCTTTCTCTGCAAGAAAGTTGTCAAAACCACCAGACAAATATCAACATTTATCTTAAGTATTTCCTCAAGAGAGGACATTTCATTCTCTGTAATGTAAGGAAACAATGTCACTCCCAAAAGTTATCAAGATAATATATGTTTCATCTCTGTTTTTCAATTTCGTGAGTAATTAAGCAGTAAAAACAAAACAGTTAACCATTTTTCTTTGCAGCCTCCTCACAACCCCTTACATACCAGCATGTGTAGCTGCTTTTTCTAGATGCTCATAGTAGACTTTCCAAAATTGCTTATTTTCCATTTCGTGTGCATGAGAACTATGGAAAAAAAAAATCACAAAACAAAAAGTGTGGAACGGTCATTTTAAGATTGCTCACGGAAAAAAAAAAAAGAGTGAAAGGATATAACTAAAATGTTAATTAGGTTATCCCTCAGTGTGGAGTCCTAAACACCTTTTGCACTTTTCTATATATTTCAAAATGCCTGCACTGAGCACAGATTATTTTTATAGTCATAAAGCACTAAAGAGTATTTTTAAAAATATAAGTAGATCCTTAAGAGAAAATAATTTTTAAAGGCACACTTTTAAAACTGGGGCATGGGGCATGAATAAGATCCATTAAGAGAAGAAGGAGCCCTCTGGAGAGAAAAGTCAGTTTGTTCAAAACTAACTTAAAAATAGTGAGTTTCCCTCCACCAAATTTAAATACACTTATTAACACAAAGGCAAAATAAACATTTACTAACTACATGAAACACTTTTCAGAACTTAAAAGGAGACATTAGATGGATCACATAAAGTGCTTATGTAGTTTGATATCCTAGCAACAATACTCTCGAATATTCTGTCACTAATTTTCTAAGAGTATGCATAAACTTTATACGTGACATGAACTGTGTATGTTGCAGACTGACTCTACTCAGAAAACAAACCAACAGGTATGTTGTTGTTTCTGTCCTTCCAAACAGAAAGAGGTACCCAACAGGAAGACAGCCCAGCCACTAGGGAGAATGCCTCATGACATTCAGTAATTGAAGAATCAACGCTGTTGACAGTGTGCTACTGGTAACACGTATGTCAAATTCTCTCTTCTGAAAGTATAATAAACAAAATAATGAAGCTGATGCTGGGAGAATCTTGCTTTTGGCACATTGGTTTTGATGGCTTTGAAGGGCAGTAAAAGGTAGACAAAGTGTAGGAAAACGTAGACAAGGGTAGTAAAGGTAGACAAATTGGTTTCAAATTGTAAAGGGATTGGTCTATAAATGTTAACTCTCTTATTCTGTCAAATAAGAATAACTAATCGTTGGGGTTTTGAAAGGCCTCATATGATATATTTCCAATCTGATAAAAAAGTGAGTGTGTATTATCCTGAAGACAAATGTCTGAAGACAGATTTCTACACGAGCCATAATGAGTATTTTCTTTTCTTTTTTTTTTTCTTTTTTTTTTGAGACAGAGTTTTGCTCGTTGCCCAGACTGGAGTGCAATGGCGCAATCTCGGTTCACCGCAACCTCCACCTCCCGGGTTCAAGCGATTCTCCTGTCTCAGCTTTCCGAGTCACTAGCATTACAGGCATGCGCCACCATGCCTGGCTAATTTTGTATTTTTAGTAGAGATGGGGTTTCTCCATGTTGGTCAGGCTGGTCTCGAACTCCCAACCTCAGGTGATCTGCCTGCCTTAGCCTCCCAAAGTGCTGGGATTACAGGCATGAGCCACCGCACTCGGCCTATAACATGTATTTTCTACGTGACCACTGAAGGCTTTTTGGGGCTAAAGGGATTTTGGATGCTAGACAGCAAGGTTTTGAAAAAGTCTTTATTTTTAAAGTATGGCTCAGTGACTCAATATATAGAAATAAAATTATGCAACTATTATACTTCCTTGCTGTAACAAATTTTAAGAACACAAAAGTATCATAAAAAGCAAAAAGAGAAACTCCTCCAAAGTTATTTCAACACACAAAGAGACACACATACAACAATGGAACTACTGAAGATGTGGCATCAGACAGAATTCTTCATGTTTATTTTTAATTCACCTTGTCTCACAAAGGATTTAAAGTACTGTAAATACCATATATACCCATTCATTTAAATCATACCTAGGAGGAGTATAATCTGGGCCCCATCATTCTGCAGTAATTAAAGTATAATAGTTTCATCCCATTTAACCCATGTTTACCTTATGAGTTCAATAACAGGATCCCAGAGTGCACTGAAATTAATATATAGCATGCCTAACAAATAACGAAGCGGCACCTGCAATTACAGGAGACTAGTTTAATAGTGGGTAATGAAATACAATACAGAAGTACTGAAACGCAAACATCCCAAGTTGGACAACCTGAGGTTTGGAAAGAAGCCTATGCGATAAGAAAAAAAGTTGCAGGCACTAATCCAAAATTCATTGTATACTAATTTTCCTCTTCTCCCCAAAATGTCACTCACTATTTAAAATATAAAGAATCGCTGCAGCAAATACAGTATTCAAATTCACTCCAGGTGTTCATTCATTTAAATGTACAGATTTGACTAACGATTAAATTCCCTTCTAACAAATCTTGTTGTCGCCAGATTAAGACAAAACTTCAACAGTAGTCAGTAATGCACACATGCCAAAGAACGCAAGGAAACATGCTGTGAATGACTGAGGCTTTGCAAGTTCAGTAAGTCCAAAGTTTCCCAGTCACCTTTTGGAATAAGGGTCATTATTACTAGGGAGTAATGTGCTAGGGAGGCACCATCCACACTGGTGGTTTTATTATTATTTAGGGGTGTGGTGCTTGTATATATTCTAGCAGCAGTCTTTTTTCCAAATGAAACAGAAGATCCTAATACATAAAACAGATAAGAGAAGAACTGCTCTGACTGAAGGGAGAATGCCTCCTTTTGGCCTTACTCCCAAAGGGGTCTGCGATGTATCTTCAAGGGTCACGGAATGAAAACCCTGATATAAAACATAGAAGACTGGGCCGGGTGTGGTGGCTCACGCCTGTAATCCCAGCACTTTGAGAGGCTAAGGAGGGCGGATCACGAGGTCAGGAGATTGAAATCATCCTGGCTAATGCGGTGAAACCCCGTCTCTACTAAAAATACAAAAAAATTAGCTGGGTGTAGTGGCGGGCACCTCTAGTTCCAGTGACTCGGGAGCTGAGGCAGGAGAATGGCGTGAACCTGGGAGGCGGAGCTTGCAGTGAGCAGAGATCGTGTCACTGCACTCCAGCCTGGGTGACAGAGCAAGACTCTGTCTCAAAAGAAAAAAAACAAAAAACAAAAACAAAAATACATAGAGGGCTGATGTTCTGCAGCAGCAAAAAAATCTAGTGAAGAACAGGCTTTAAACCTGACATTGAGTCCTCCTGTTGCCACTACCTACCTACCTACCTACCTACCTACCTACCTATCTGCATTACTCAGGTTCAATGAGCCCCTGCTTACTCATTCCTAAAAAGGTACTAACATGACCAGGTACGGTGGCTCACACCTGAAACAGAGAATACTAAATTATTCCTACTACTGAAAAAGCTGGCAGAGCTATTTAACTCAAAGCATCTAAGAGAACTGGGGGTTTCCCTTATTATTTTTAAATTATTATTATTATTTTGGTGACTACTTGGTATGCTTCCCAAAATAGGATTTAAAGCATGAATTAAAAAGGAAAAAAAAAAAAAAGGACACTATTTTTACCTCCTGTAACGGCCCATCAGGGACAGCAGCCTGCACCACATCATGTCTTAGTTTTCTTAAATGAAGAAGCTTCTCTCTATAATCATTCACAGTTGCTGGAACAAGTTCTGCCTGGCGTAATATAGCAAAGACAGACTGCCGTTCTGAGAGCCCATCATCCTGAATAACCAGAGAAAACCATGGAGAAGACCAGTCAGTATTTTGATTTTCCAAAACGAACATTAAATGTGACCGAAGGTCTAAAAACAGAAAAACTGGAATATGTGATTTTTAATGAAATAAGCAACACTTTTGTTTTGGTAAATGATTCTTTTCTCCCCATACCATTTCCTTCTTGGTAGATAATTTAGTGTGTAGTGCGTAAATGACAACTAAAAAACAGGAAAATCATTCTCAAGTCATTCAAATTGATTGGCAACATTTGTTGAAATAAAAATATATACATGCTTTCGCTTCACAAATTTACTCCTAGTAAACTGCATTATGGAACTATTTCCCTACAGAAACATTTCTGTGTAAGGATGTTCACTGTAGTATTGTTTGAAACCCTAAAAAACTGCAAAACCCACCTAACCATCCATCAACAAGCAAATGGCTAAATAAGACATTTTCAATTGTGGAGTAGTATTCAAACTTCAAAAGGAATGAGATAGACACTGGCTGGGTACAGTGGCTCACACCTGTAATCCCAGCACTTTAGGAGGATGAGGTGGGCAGATCACTTGAGGTCTGGAGTTCGAGACCAGCCTTGCCAACATGGCAAAACTCCATCTCTACTAACAACACAAAAATTAGCCAGGCGTAGTGGCAGGCACCTATAATCCCAGCTACTTGGAAGGCTGAGCCAGGAGGATCGCTTGAGCCGGGGAGGCGGAGACTGCAGTGAGCCGAAATCACGCACTGCATTCCAGCCTAGGTGACAGAGTGAGACCCCGTAAAAAGAAAAGAAATGAGGTATGAGGTAGATATAGAGGTAATCATATGGAAAAACCCCGTGATATCATTTGTTTAAATTATGTGTGTGTGTGTATTCAAAAAGTCTGAAAGAATATTCACCAATTAACGGTGGATTTCCAGTGGTGACTTTATGGGTAGACAGGAGTAAGAGTTACCAAAAAAAAAAAAAAACAATTTTTATGATAAATATATAGTGTGTTAATTTTCTGCAAAGGTATCATTTTGGAAACTACAATAATATGTAAAACCATATTTTTTTTTAAAACCTATCCACTCAAACAGTTAAAGTACCTCTATTAATTCCGGAAGCTGGACATCAAAATGATTTAGGATCCTTATTGTCAAAAGTCGAATCTGGAGAAAGTAAAAGGCATCTTTCAAATTCCAAAGTTTAAGCATAAAAATAAACTGATTCACAGCAAGATTTAAGTTTTATACTATTAAAAAAAAAATACCATTTGACCAGAGTAATACGTGCCTATTCTAGCCCTTATTTCATATTCAACACCAACCAACACCTAGTTAAAATAGTACATGGAACAATTAGTAGTTTCTTTGAACTATGACACTATAACCATGTCTGTAAATAAGTACAAAGAAGTTGATTAAGCTGACGATTCAATTAAAGTTAGTGATTTTTATTCCTAAGTAATGTACAATATTCAGGTATTTCTGCATACCTAAATGAGCAGGAGAACCACCTAGAAGACTTAAAAAAAAAAAACTATGTTGATTTTTCAGTTCTACCCTAGCCCTACTGAATTGGAATCTTTGAGGGTAGGGACCCAGAATTTGTATTTTTATTAATCTCTCTAACTAATCCTACTGCAATCAGTTTGCAGGCCAACATTTAAGAATCATTGCTTTAAACAGAAATCATCCCACAGCAACACTTTCTAACTAAGATGCTCTGAAAATCACTGCAGTCCATATAGAAACAGGAGAAGAGAGACTGCGGACACACTACCGCAAAACACCATTACCTTGGATACACCAGTTGAAATGTTTGCTTGTAACTTGGGAAATAATTCCATTAAAGCCTCCTGGGAAAGTGGCCCTTTGGAGCCACACAAGGATAATCTCTGATAATAGAGATCAGCCAACAGCAACACAGATGGCTCCAGAGGAAAGGTTCTGCAACGAGACGTTCATTAGACCCAAACTGCACCACATGACCCAGAGTATCTAGACTGTAGTATAAGCCACAGAAAATGATCACTGATGAAGAAAATGTAAAAAGTAACAGGCAAAAGTCTCATGTGGACATTTGGCTCACTTCATAGATGAAGAATGTGAGGCCAAGCAATAATGAGTGACGTATGCAAGGACACACAGCTGGTTGCAGGCAGAGGAGGGAGTAGCATATGCTAGACTCCAATGTTGCCTCTTCAATCCACATAGTTGTAAATGACAGCCATATGAGATACACACACACACACACACACACACACAGTCTTTGTTAAAAAATATATATATGTAATATTTATTAAGTGTTTGTCATGCGCCAGGCACCAAGCTAATGAGGAAAGTAGTAGAGACAAGTGGTCTGACACACGAGCTCTGGGGTAGGGCAGCCCAGGGTTGAATCTAGCCCCATCACTCATGAGCGGTGTAACCTCAGGCAAGTTGCTTAACCTCTTAGTATCATCTTTATGCAACAAATATTCACTGAATACCTACTATGTACTGTGACTTTTCTAGATACTGTAGATAGAGCAGTTAACAAAAGACAAAGTTCTTTTCTTGGAACTTATATTCTAGTAGGTGAAAGTAGCCAATAAATAAGTACTATGACAGTGATGAGTGACATGAAGAAAAGTAAACCAGGGGAAAAAGGCTTGACAAAGACTGCATGCAGGGAATTTTGGGGAGATGGTGTGGGGCTGAAGAGAAGCACCATTTGATACAGGGGTGCTCCTAAAAGTAGGAGACCGAAGGAAGTGAAAAAGTGAGCTAAAAGGGTATCTGAAGGAAAAGCATTCTAGGCAGAGGGAACTGCAATGCCAACTGTGAGGTGTGCTTGTCTGCAGCAACATCGAGGAGACCATCTCAGCTGGAATTGAGCTAAGGAAGAGTGCCTGAAGATGTCAGAAGTAGCCAGGGGTTAGCTCATACAGAGCCCCGAGGAACATGATGAGGACGCTGGATTTTATACAGAGTGAGATGGGATACCTCTCGAGCAAGGTTTCTCTACAGTAGCACTACCAACATTTTGGGCCAGAGAACTCTTTGTGGTGGAGGGCGGTGCTGCCCACTGCAGGGGGCTCAGCAGCATCCCTGGCCTCCACCCACTAGATGCCAGTAACAGTGCTCTTTCCCCCCACTGTGACAGCCAGAAAGTCTCCAGGGTTGCTCCCAGTTGAGAAGCACTGTATTAGAGGGTGGGGAGCAAAAGAGTGGCATGTCCTACACTTAGAAGCAGCAGGGCAAGAACGGAAGAAAGGAGACTCATCAGGAGTTCAGACCACGGCTTTCTTTTGAAACTTTAGTTCCCCCATCTATACTGGTAACAGTACCCACACATAATGGAGTTGTTGTGAAGATTAAACAATGTACATAATGTGCATATAAGGACACAATCAATGCAATTGTTTATTACTATTATTGCATGCATTGTACAGCTTAATCTCTACAAGGTGAGATTTCTATTCCTTCCTTTTTTTCTTCGCTATCCCTTTTTGAGAGATAATCAAGTTGAGGTTAACTAAGTCACCCAAGGCTACAGAGCTAGTTAGTGGTGGATTCAAGACTCAAAACCAGGCATCTTGGCTGTGAAACCTAGGTGCTCATCAGTTCACTAGCATAGCAAAGAGAACAGAATCCTGTGTCTACTCTGCAAGCTTATGCCCCTGCCCTCAAAATCAGAGCCACTCCTGTTGGACATCTCTGTGTCTCTAAGGCTTAAGAGCCACCTGGCTGGGAGGCAAGCTGGCCTTCCCCAGGGGGAACATGGGCCCCATTCTGTGCTATGTATGTCTTTTGTTTCAACTTCTACAGCCACCTTCAATTGTTTATACCAAGGGTGAAAGTACGAGAAGTTTAAACAGAATGATTTTAAAAGGGAGACTATGTAATACGGTAAATGTGGTGATGTCAAAGAACTAATCCTCGCTAAAGGAAGTTAATTTAAACCAATACAATTAACCATGGAGAAATGCCAACTTCACCCAGATTTGGAAAGGCAAAGAGATTCCGGATTATTATAGTATTCCCCTACAGTCTCGTCTTAACATAGCAGCCAGAGTGATTCTGTTTAGGTCAAAGTCACTCCACTGCCAAAAATCCTCCCATGGCCTCCCCTTTCATTCAGAGTAAAAGCCAAGGCCCTGTGGTGACCTAAGGAGGTCTACTGCCTCCACCTCTACGTCCTCTTCTCCTACCACCCACTCTTGTGCTCTGCTCAGCCAACATGACCTCTCCTTGCTGCTCGAGCCAGGTACCCACCACACCCACAAAGCGTTGGCACTCATGTCCCCTCCAGGTCTGGAACCCAGGGAGCAGCCCAGACCACAGGTATCCTCATGGCCTATGTCCCTCACTGCTTTCCGCGTTCTGCTCAAGCGTCTCCTCCTTGGTAAGATCATTTCGATTTAAAACTGCAACCACTCCCCTCACCTCTGGACTCTCCCTGTCCCCTGACCCTGCTTTGTTTTTCTTCACAGCACTTAGCACCTCCTAACACGCTATACAGTTTACTTATTTATTCTATTTAGAGCCTCTTCTGGCTACAACACTAGCTACAAGAAGGCAGGGAATTTTGTCTGTTTTATTCACTATGTTTCACAGTGCCTAGAACAGGGCTCGGCATGTGAGAAGAGCAAATGATTAACTACTGAACAAAGTGAATGAATAAATCTTTAAAACACTTGGAAATAAAATGGAGTAGACTTCAGGAAAAAGCAGCAAGTCTTGACAGTTTAGAAAAGATACATTGTTGACTCCCCCCAAATGGTTCTGTGCTACTACCAAAATCAAAGGCTGGCTGAACTATTCTTAAAAAGCAAACACAGAAACCAAACCAACAACAACAAAAAAGAAACTGGATGGTTTCTGTGTGTAGTAAAAAGAACACAGGGAAGTTTTCGGAAATGCTGATCACACCAAGTTGAGGTCGAACAAGAGTGGGAATGTTCCTGTTGGAACCATTAAAGAAGTTATAAAAGGTCAACACCATGCCTTGTTACAGCTGGGAATGATCAGAATTACAAACCCTTCAAACTTGACCACATTAATCTACACACGTAGTAAAACATCCTTTACAAAGATGAATCTGTATTTAAAGACTGTGTCAAATGTACTTATTTTAACTGGAGGATCTAAATCAATATTAAATTTCACTATGTGAATACAACTCAGGTATAAAATAGATCAAGGGGATTTTCATTGTGTCCAAGATTTCACAACAATAGAGGCTTTTATATTTTATTCATTACTAAGCCAGTTGGAAGATGTTTACTTACAATACTAAATTCTTCACATGTTCCACAGGAACCAAATGAAGAAGTTCAGAAGATTCTTCCAAACTTAGTAGAGTATTTACAGCTTGACAAAGAACAAATAAGTTCCCTAAGGGCAGAAAAACAGGAGAAACCACATTACTTATTTCTTTGACATTATAACTATCAAATACCTTATTTATCAAATACTTGCTACTTATGGGAAGTTCTTAAAGTGAATTCGTGCCTTCCAAAGAATTATCTGTCAAACATCTAAATATAACAGAAAGAAACAGAAAAGAGAAGTTTCCAAATCCTATATTTTACCTTTCTTGAGAAAAATAAGGCTGGGCATGGTGGCTTATACCTGTAATCCCAGCACTTTGCGGGTGCTGAGGTGGGAAGACCACTTGAGGCCAGGAGTTCAAGACCAGCCTGGGCCACACAGTGAGTCCTCATCTCCATAAAAGATTAAAAATCAGCTGGGCATGGTGGTTCACACCTGTAGTCCCAGCTACCAGGGAGGCTGAGGTGGGAAGATTGCTTCAGCCTGGGAGGTCAAGGCTGCAGCAAGCCATGATCGTGCCACTGCCCTCCAGCCTGGGTGACTGAGCAAGATAGTCTCAAAATAAATAAATAAATAAATACTCAGAAGTAGAGAATAAAAATGTATGTATGTTCCATTAACCAAAATGAGTACCAAGTATAATGGTCCCACTCACTGACGTTATCAAAACTAGGACTTTTGAGGAGTATAGGCTTGGATTTATCAATAGCTAAGAAATTATCTTGGTATAAAACTTGTTGATTTTATTTTTCAAGTTTATGAGAAGTCACATATTTAATGGCTACTACCTATAATACACTCAATTAATGATTTTATTTATTTATTTAGAGACAGAATCTTGCTCTGTCGCTCAGGCTGGAGTGCAGTGGTGTGATCTCCGCTCACGGCAACCTCTACTTCCCAGGTTCAAGTGACTCTTCTGCCTCAGCCTCCCAAGTACCTGGGATTACAGGCATGTGCCACCACACCCAGCTAATTTTTGTATTTTTAGTAGAGATGGGGTTTTACCATGTTGGCCAGGCTGGTCTCGAACTCCTGACCTCAAGTGATCCACTCACTTTGGCCTCCTAAAGTGCTGGGATTACAGGCGTTAGCCACTACACCCAGCCTTATTTTTTTAAAGAGAGTGGGGGCAGGGGGGGTCTCACTATGTTTCCCGGGCTGGTCTTGAACTCCTGGCCTCAAGTGATCCTCCTGCCTCAGCCTCCCAAAGTGTTGGGATTACAGGTCTAAGCCATGGTATCCAGCATAATTAATGATAATTAAACACTCATTTAGTCTCTAGCCCAGAGCTCAGCAAACTATGTCTCTAGCCCAGAGGTCAGCAAACTATGGTCTGCAAGTCAGATCTGGTAGGCAGCCTGTTTCTATATGGACTGCAAGCTAAAAATGATCTTTACATTTTGAAGGGGTTGTTTAAAAAATATATATATAAAATATAATATATAAAAATATATATAATACATATAAATATATATAATATAATATATACAAATATATATAAGTATATATATAAATATATATATATATATGCCACCAAGACTGAATGTGGCCCATAAGACCTAAAGCATTTACTGTCTGGTCCTGTACAAAAAGATTTTACCAGTCCCTGCTCTAAGCTCTAGATCAGCGCTGTACAACAGAATTTTCTACAATGATAAAAATACTTGTCCTAATATGTCGCCACAATCCAGTACAGTAGCCACCAGTCACATATGGCTACAGAGCACTTGACATGTGGTGAGTTCACTTTATTCTCTAATACATCTGCTTAGTATCTAACACAGAATGCAGCACAGTAATATTAATATTTAAGTGAATGAATGACCACTATGTACGCGTGATTTTTTAAAAAATTCTGCATTAGAATAAAACAAAATATTAAATAATTGCTTTTGATTTGCTGTTTCCAGGCTAGTGGGGGAGACATGTAAGTATCCAATAGGAAATGGTGTTTTGGGCAGGGTAGTCTAATTCTGCCTGAAGAGTCATAAAGGCCTTCCTAGAGGTGTTGTGCCTGAGCCGAGTTTTGAAAGATAAGCAAGAGTTCACTGAATGACAAAGACCTAGAAAGGTCTCCATGCAGAGGAAACACATGGGCAAAGGCAGCCACACAGTTGTAAAAGAATGTATCTTTCTCAGGGTAAGCAAATGGATTTGCTTGGAGCATAAGGTGCATACTAGGAGTCAGATGTACGTGGGAGATGAGAAATAGGATCTGGTATGGGGCTCTAAAACAAATGGCCCTCAAAGCCATGGCATCCTTTTGATATGTCCCCTTCCTTATGCTCAAGCCACCGTGACCCAGTCACCACATTATGTGGTAAAAGTGAGACACACCCACCATATCCTCGTTTCTTCCAGATTTATCATTCAGGGGGTTATGCCAGAACACAATGTAAGTATTATTCTCTAATAGCCCATGTGTTTACAATTACTTTGAGTGTGCCAGAAAAGAAGAGAAGAAAACACATGATGTTTGTAACTGACCTTTCCCAAAGCTTCCTTTATCAACAGTCATGAAGAGTGCCTCTATGAAGCAGGTGACGAGTGGTATCACCTTCTCTTTCTCAAGAGGTCTGTCCAAGTGGGAGAAAAAGGGAAAAGTTCAAACTGGCATTCAGTGGTTTGTTTCAGAGAACAGCAAGGAATGGCTAACATATTTTAATCAGCATGTTATCTCTTTCAAAATTAAACATAGCTTATTTTCTTACCTAATATGAGGCAACACCACCAGGGCTGCCCAAGATTGTGAAAGGTAAATAGTATCTTTATTTGGGGGTAACTTAATTATAGATAAAAGATGGTCCAATACTGGAAACTGTTTGTTTCTTCCCTTGGATCTAGTCTTCTTCTGCTTTATATAGGACCTGAAGGGTTAAAAAAAAAAATATGTTTAAAATAACAGAGAATGTAATCGCTGTTGCCCTCTGAAGTCTGAAATAAAATTGGATTCTTACCATTGTGGAGCATTAGAGGGAAGGAACTGGTGGTGGTGGTTGAGCTAAATAAATGTGAGTCATTTACTGAGTTTTCAGTAAGAGGCTTTTTCAGCTCCACTGGCTCTACTTCCTTTCACTTCTATTTTAATTTGCTTTATAACTGAAACCAAGTTTCTTCTAGTTTTAAGTATGATTTCTCAATTCTGTGCTCCTGGGCATGTTTTTGATTGGCAATTCACTGGAATGAACTGACTTCGTCCATTCTCCCTTTCCTTTTTGACATGAATTTTACTACTATCCACAAATGTAGAACGATGTTGCAGAGTTACTGTGATGAAGTTGACGAATACCACTAACATGATTATGATATCTAAGTAATTTTCTCCTGCTGCTTTGACCAGATACACAGTCGCTCAATGACATTTTCCGACATGACATTCTGTTTTGAATATCTGTGACTCTGGTACTACTCTTGTTAGCCTCTTTTTATTTTTGCCAGTATGCTATACCTCAGTCCTATTTGAAAGACAAAAATCTAATCAAAAGAAAAATCACAGAAATCGTAAGTTAAATGATTTGTTTTACAATTTATCCTCCAACTCCAGTTTGGTTAGCTTGTTATGCAATAGAAGTGGAATATCAGGTTTTTACTCTTGTGCCCTTTTTATCATTAAAATTCATCAAAAAACAGTCAGCTAAGGGCAGGAAGGAAAAAAAGAAAAGAAAAAGAAAAAAAATTCACCAAAAAGCTACATTCTCTTTTGTTTCATACTTACCAGAATGTTTAGTGTTTGGAAATCATGATAGATAATTAAGTTAATTTAATTATCAATTCCTTAAAGTCACCACATCTTGATATATATAGTCTTTTTAGTAATAATCATGACTCAACAATCTGCAAAAATCTTACGAAATACTGAGATGCTTTAAAAAACAAAAGTGAGTCATTAGTTGCCACGTCACTCCCGTTTTCCAGACCTGCCAATGGCTCCACCAATGAAGTCTGTACTCCTTACGTCATCCTGTAAGGCCCTCTGTGATCGGACCCTTGCCCACCTCCATCTCCTCTCATTCCACTCTCCTCCTTGCTCTTTACCCACAGAGGTTTTCTTTCTGTACTTCAAACATGCTGAGCTTATTTCTGTCCCAGAGTCTCTGCAGTTAACTTTTCTTTCTGTCTGGAGAGTCTCTCATTGAGATCTTTGCAAGGCTGGATCCTTCCCAGCTTAAAATTGGACCAAACGTCCCCTGGAAAGGAATAGTGACCCCTCTCCATTCACTCTCCCTCTCAATACTGCTTTGTCTTCTTTTACCACGATCTGAAATCATCTCGCTTATTTGCTTACCTGTCTCACCACATTCCTCTCCCCCGAAGAAGGAACTTTTTTCTTATTCTTTGTTGCACCCCAGTGTCCAGTGCCTGACACTGTTAAGTAGTTGTCAAATGACAATAAGTTTATCTTCTAAAGGGTCTTTTCACATTTATTATCTTTATTTTTTCTCCCAGCAAACTGGTGAGATGGGTAGATGGAGTGTTACTAGTAACATTCAAACTATGATTTTAAAATCTTCACAGAAGGAATCAAAACAAAGGTGACCATTCACATATGCCATATCTCCGTGGGGTGTAGCAGAGGGGTATTTTTGCAGAGAAAGAAACACAGAAGTGGGAGTACTTGCCGTGAGTTAGCACGTCTAAATTTATTTATTTATTTTAACACGCCACCTTCCTGGGAGGATCTGAGATGGCTGAGATGCTGAGGTAAGAAAGTCTGACACCCAGTCTCAGTTAGAACCTTAGCTTCACCTCATGGAAGCCAAACAACAAAGCAGCTTCACTCCCCCTGCACAGAACCCAGTTTTGGCAGGTGCAAGGAATCTGCCTGCTGGAGATGGGCTTGGGTGTTGACAAATCAAGAGGAAAGTTTCAAAGGAATAATTCTATAGGAGTTACTCACTACCCATTCCTCAGGAATCAGAATTCAATACATTTAAAAACCAACAAGATGCTGTGGGCATATTTTAATAGAGAAGCAACTTGTAAGGCAGACAGAAGATACAAGTAGGTGTTAAGACGAGTTTGCTAAACACAGCGGCTCAACCTATAACTCCAACACTTTGAAAGGCCAAGGCAGGAGGATCACTTGAGTCCAGGAGTTTGAGACCAGCCTGGGCAACATAGCGAGACCTCATCTCTACAAAAATTAAAAAATTAGTTGGGCATGGTGGTGCGTGCCTATGGTTCCAGCTACCTGGGAGGCTCAAGTGAGAGGAGAGCTTGGGCCCTGGAGGTCGAGGCTGCAGTGAGCCGTGATTGTGCCACTGCACTCCGGCCTGGGCGACAGAGCAAGACCTGGTCTCAAAATCATAATAATAATAAATAAAACATTTAAAAAAGAAAATAGGTTCCTCCAGAATCTCAAGCTGATCAAACTCAAAATCTAGCTCTGCTGTATGACTGTGGGACAGTTACTCCCACCTCTATGGATGTTTCAAAGTCGAGTATTCAGCACAAACTCAAGGAATGCCCATCAATTCTGCCTCAGAGCAAACCAAAAACTCAACAACAGGTCTAACTACTCCAAGATAAATAAGATTAATTATAAAAACAAAGGAAAGACAAGGGAACTGGTTTCCTAAGCTACAATTTCCAGACGCATATCCACTTAACTATTTGAGAAATGATACTACGAATCTTCTCATGTGTGTAAATAAGCTTTGTTTTTAACTTCTAAAGGGTGTCATTTTGAATGAAATTAAGAAATTAATCCATGACACTTAACAACTGAAACAATATAAAGGTATATAATGTTTTTTTTTTTTTTTGAGACAGAGTCTCGCTCTATTGCCCAAGCTGGAGTGCAGTGGCGCGATATCGCTCACTGCAACTTCCACCTCCCTAGTTCACGCCATTCTCCTGCCTCAGCCTGCCGAGTAACTGGTACTACAGGCGCCCACCACCATTAAGTTTTTGTATATTTAGTAGAGATGGGATTTCACCATGTTAGCCAGGATGGTCTCGATCTCCTGACCTCGTGATCCACCTGCCTTATCCTCGTAAAGTGCTGGGATTACAGGTGTGAGCCACTACGCCTGGCCAGGAGTGTGGTTATTAAAAAGTAGCATGAGGAATCCTCAAGGTGAGGGAACAGTTCCATATATTCACTCTGGTGATGGTTATAAATCAACACGTGATAAAACTGCATTCAGCTATATATCTATATATGTATACAAACTCAGATGAGTGCACATACAACTGATGAAATCTGATTAAGATTGATGGATTGCACCAATGTCAGTTCTGCAGTTGTGATATTGCAGTATGCTTAGGCAGGATGTACTAATGGGAGAATCTGAGTGAAGAGTATATGAAACCTCTCTGTACTATTTCTTGCAACTGCACATGAATCTACAATAATTTTACAATAAATGGTTAAAAAATTAAGTCACCTCTATCTTTCCCTTACCATCCTGATGTAAACAAAGTTAAAAGGTTTGTGTATCCTTCTACGTGTTTTTCTATGTTCATACACACATTTTGCTTTACCTTGCTTGCAAAATGAGATCATACTATACATATTATGTGTGTAGCTCTACAACATGCTTTATTCACACAACTTATCACGGACATCCTTCCAGTTACATATAGATCTTCATTTTTTTACAGTATTTTTGATATATTATATTTAAATGGGTAATCTTATCATCATTCCAGGAATAAAAACTTAGCACTCACCCCACCATCTGCGGTGAGAAAGTCAGAGGGTACTTTTCAATTGCCATCGAGCCAGCAGTGGGAGGTGCCGCTTTGTTCAGAATGAGCTTGGCCAGAATGGCCAGAGCTGCGTCTTTGACTACAGCATCATCAATTAGGAAGCAATTCACAATATATGACAGAAAGCTTGGTAGAAATAGCTAAATTTAAGAAAAAAAAAACACACTTATTAACAGATATAATAAAGAGAAGATTGTAACAATTCAAAAAACTGGACCAAAAACAAAGGATCAAGAATCACAATGGCATTAGACCTCTACGCAGGAGCAATGGAAGCTAAAGACTGTGCGGCCATGTCTTAAAAACTCTGAGGAGGGATGACTTAGAATCTAGAATTCTATAGCCTGCCTACCAATAATGCAGTGTGAGGAGAGAATAAAGACATTTTCAGATGTATTAAATCTCAATATTTTATCTCCATGAACCCTCCCCAGCCCCAGGATATTATGAAAAATAAATTCTGTCAAAATTAGAGACTCAACTATAACAAGAGAAAAACACGGAACCCAGGAAACAAGAGAGAAGCAAAAGGAAGTCCCAGTACAACATTTGTGCAGTGGGCAGAGAAAGAAATGCATTTAGACTGGACTTGCTCCAGGAGAAATGTCTCCAAGAAAGAAGAAAAAGAAAAATTGAGCTGCTAAATTATCTGACAGTTTTGTCATGTGAAGGACATTTACAAAGCTGCTGGAAGACAGACTCACTGGCCAGCTATTCAAAGAAAACAATTTCCAGTTTTTAAAGAACGAGGTAATTATAAACTCTAAGAAAAATGAGGCCAGGTGTGGTGGCTCATGCCTGTAATCCCAACACTTTGGGAGGCCAAGGCAGGCAGATCACCTGAGGTCAGGAGTTTGAGACCAGCCTGGCCAACATGGTGAAACCCTGTCTTTACTAAAAATACAAAAATTAGCCAGGCGTGGGGGTGCAAAACTGTAATCCCAGTTACTCAGGAGCCTGAAGCAGGAGAATCACTTGAACCCTGGGGGTGGAGGTTGGCACCACTGCACTCCAGCCTGGGTGACAGAGCGAGACTATGTCTTGACAAAAAAAAAAAAAAAAAGAAAGAAAAATGAGAATGTATACAAAAAGGTCACGTAATCATAAAATACTCCTTGTTTATATAAGTATGTGTTGAATATGGATTCAACCAAAATTTGTGATATAATTCTATTGGGAGCATGAGAGGTACAAAGGAACTAAAGTCCATCTGCCATACGAGGAAGTCTACACATGA